GGTGTCCCAGCGCCCCGCAGCGGCTCCAGAGCCGGCCTGACCTTGGCGCCCGGGCGGGCGGGATGGACCGGCGGGATGGACCGACGGCAGCCCCTCCTCTCCCGGTCACTGCACCGTGGCTCTGCTGGCTCTGTGCCCACCAGACCCCCCCACGCCTGGAGGCCCCAGCTCTGTCTCCCCAACTCCGGCCTGGGGAGGCCGAGGCCCGGGCATGGGGCAGGGGCGTGTGCCAGGAAAGCCAGGGGCCAGGCAGCCTGGCGACAGCAGGCGGGGTGCCTCTGCGCTGCGCCGGCAGGGCTGAGGGTGGCGGGACGGGCGCACCTTGGCCTTGCGCAGCAGCTGCTGAAACTCGGGCTGTGGCAGGAGGCCGTGGTTCTTCACAAAGGCCGGGACCTCGGGCGGCCGCTGGCTCTCGTAGTACACGGTGCCGTGGACCTCCATGTACTTGTTCAGGATGCTCAGGGGCTTCTCCTTCCCCTGGAAGAGGGACAGGAGGTGGGGCCCTGCCCGCCAGGAGGCAGAGCTGGCCCAAGAGGCGCCCCGGCCCGGACGCCAAAGATGCCGGCCTCCCCCTGTGGGAAATCAGGCCGGCCCCGCCTCCGGGCATGGCCAGGAAGGATGAGGAAATAATAATGATCTTTAGAAAGTCATAAAGCCTCTAGACAATCCTATGAAGAGCACAGACTACCAGGGCTGAGGCCGGGGAGAAGGGAAGAGACTGTTGGGCCCGTGAGTGTCTGGGGAAGTATCCCCTTGGTAGGCCCCAGGGTCAGCATGTAGGGGTCACCCTGTAGAATGGGGACACGGTCAGGGCCTCGCAAGGGCAGGGACCCCTGACCAAACCCTCCACTTACGGTGGAAGTCGGGAGGTAGACCCTGGAAGAAAGTCTGGGGGTGAGGCAGCGTCCATTTTAAATCCTTTCGACCACCATCATCGGTTCCGGCCATCTGGGACTGCCCGGGCCCCAGCAGCAAATCCCCTCTCCAAAAAGAGGGCATTAATCCTGACCTCCAAATATTGCCACAGTTTTTATGTTAATTTTCTAGAACTTTTGGTGGAGGGTGGGAAAAGGAATCAATGAAATCCTCCCCCCACCCTCCCCCCCCAAGAAAAACCCAGCAGGCCTTTTTGTAGAGACTGACAAACCAATTGTAAGACGCATTTGGAAATGCAAAGGACCCAGAAAAGACAAGTCCAACCCTGCTTATCCAAATGCAAAAAGTTTAAAACAGTAGAACTTCAAACTATTCTTCCTGTCACATATAAAAATGAATTCAAAAAAGATCATAGGCTTAAATATAAAACCTAAAACTTACAGGAGAAACATTGTTGTGACCTTTGGCTAGATGAAAGTTTCTTGGAAACAATACCGCAAGTGAAATCTTTAGAAAATACTGGATGTCATGAAAATTAGGACATGGTCAGAGGGAGAGGAGCCACAGTCTGGGGCCAATATTTTCAAGGCATGTATTTAACAAAGTACATACATCCAGATATGTCAAGAACACTACCAGCTCAATAATACGACAATAAAAAACCTTTTTAGTGGGCAAAATTTTTGAAAAGCATTTCACCAAAACAGTTATATGGAAGGCAAATAAGCACAGAAAACTATTCTAACATCACTAATCATTAAGGAATTACAAATTAAACCACAGTAAGGTAAGATTGCATGCCAGTTTTAAAGGCTAACATTAAAAAGAATGAGCTCCACAGCAGGAGTATGAGGGACCAGGAGAGAAAATAATAAGAATAATGAACAGCCATATGCCAGACACATTTCACGGGGGTGCAGTGGGGAATGGGCTCAAAAATGGGGAGGAAGGAAATGCACGGGACTGTGGTGACGGCACGCGGGTGATCTGGTGGTGGGAAGCCCACGGGGATGGCAACTGAGATGGGAAAAGGCACAAAATGATGGAAAAATAAACGATTATATTATTATTTTTTAAATGAGCATGCCAAGTACCAATTAATTTATAAAGGAATTGAAATCCTCATACACTTTAAAATCTGCTAAGATTTTAAAACGGTACCAGCACCTTTCATCAAAGTTAAACATAGCTCTATAACGTGACACAGTCACTCCAACCTCAGGCAGTGTCCAAGGGGAAGGAAAGCAAATGTCCCTCAAAGATCTGAACATGAACATTCACACACGAGTAACTGGGAACAGCCAGTGTCCATTAACAGAGAAGGGGATAAACAAAGCGCGGTATATCCTAACAGTGGAATATTACTCAGCAATTAAAAAGGCATAAACTATCAACACATGCAAAAATACAGGTGAGCCTCAAAAGAACAAGGAAAGCCAGGCCAAAAGTAAGTCTATGCCACAGGACTACAATTTTATTTTAAAAAAAATGAGAAAAGGCAAACTAATCAATAGTGACAGGAAGCAGTTCACTGGTTACGGCGAGATGAGAAGAGGAGAGGAGGGGAAGTGGATATGTTCACTCTTTTGATTGTGGCGATGGCTTCACAGGTGTGTGCAGATGTCAAAACTTATAAAATTACACATTTTAAACATGCTTAGTCTATTACATGTCAATGATAATTTCATAAGGCTGTTAAAAATAGACTTCAGAAAAAGAAATCTTGATTTTTCTTTGAAAATCATGTGCATGAAGAAACAAGATGATGTGATCAAAAAACAAAAGAAGTAGCAATAAAAGCAGATCTGAGGCAATTTAGACACTGGGGTTATCAAACACAATTTTTTTGATAAACATACCAAATGTTGTCGAGGACATAAAAAAGGCAATTTGAAATGCTAGAAATAAGAAAATACAATTGCTGAAACTAACAACTAAACCAGCGGATTTAACACAATTTAAGGGATAAATATCCAGAATGAAGCACAAAGAAGCTAAAAGGTGGGGATCAGGGGGATACACTGAAGACCTAACGTATGCATAAGTGGAGTCAGAAGTAAAGGACAGAGACTGGGGCGGAAGTAATATTTAAGGACGGAGTGTTGGGGAGTCTCTATAAAACTAGTAAGAGATCAAATCACGGATTTAAAAATCCCCTATGGGGAAAATCCAAAGAAAACCGCTTGAAGCGGGTTCAGCAGCACTGGGAAGCGGACAAACAGAAGCCACAGAAGTGGACGAGGAAAAAGACAACGAGGCTCACGCTGACGTTTCGACAGAAATGATCGAGGCCTGCAGGCGACAGAGCGTTTTCATAACGCCACGAGAAAATGACGCCAGGCTGGGATTCTGTATGCTGCAAAAATATTCACAGAGAACAAAGGTGCGGCAAAGCATCTTCAGGAAATCCAACAGCTGGCTCAGATTAGGGAGGGAAAAGGATCCCAGAGGGTCAGAGACGTGAGAGGAAACAGGGCAAAAAGGGCAGGTGGGGACCGACGTGAGTAAGGGCTGCACAGAGCCGCAGCCATACACATGGCGGGGCACGAAGGAGAGAAATAAACACACCCTGAGCAAGTAAGTCGGACGATGACACTGGACAGGTTACGACTCCTTTGCTCCCCGATAAAAGGTGACAGTGTGGGTGCAGATGGGACTTCCACCCGTCGGGGCGCGGTTCTGGTTTTAGAGTAGCCCCGAAAAGAATTCGAAGCAGTCTCGCCAGCCATCTACGGGGAGGGGTGGACTTAAGACGCATGATCCGTGTAAACGGAGGCAGGAAAGGGGAGGGGCGGTGCAGGAAACGCAACCGCAAGGGGAGGGGCGGTGCAGGAAACGCAACCGCAGCCGAGGCAGGACGCGAGCCCAGGGCCGGGGGTCCCTCGTCACACGGACGGCAAAGGCGACTGGCCGTCAAGCTGAATGCGCCCACAGAAGAAGTAAAAGCGGGGTGCGCAGGGGCAAGACGACGCTGCTGAAGCCCCACGCCTCCCCAGTCCGGCTTTCTGACCAGGGGCGGCAGCTGCTGTGACCCCGCCTCGGCGCGGGCTGGACACTTTCCCTCAACACACACGCAGGCGATGGCGGCCTGTCACCCCACCGGCCAGCACCCTGACCTCCCGACCCGCGCCGACACCTTCCGGGCGGCCTCGGCCGGCCTGCACTGACCCTGCACACACGAGGGCCCTTTATGCCGCCGGCCAGTGGCCCCATCGCTGCCAGGCCGCCGGACTGCGTTTTCCCGTTCTCAGCGTTTCGGCCCGACTTCATCCTACAGGCGCCGTCTCAGCCCACGGGGAACCTGGGGCCGTCGCGCCCACACACAGGCGGTCGGGGCCGTCGAGCCCTGGCGACCGGAACACGGCGGCGCCTGAAGCCTGCTGGCGGCCGGCCCTACTTGCCCTCATGAGCCCCGGGGGTGGGGCGCGGCAGGGGCACGGGGCGTGTGCCCCTCGGCCGGGTTACCTTGCTTTGTCACCACAGTCCAAAGGAGGCCCACAGCTCCGCGTGGCCTCGCCATTCGGCCACCGGTTGCAACCAGCAGTTTGAAACGCGCCCCCTTTTGCCTGAACCCCGACATCTCTCCTGGGATTGTTCCCCGCTCCAGGGCGGGTTTGGCCTGTGCCCGCCCTGCTCCCTGGGGCGCCCAGCTGAGCCTCAATTCCCACTTTCCGAGGCTCCCAAATAACATAGGTCCTGGGCCCCCAAATTCCAAAGTCCTCCCCGCCCCGCACCCTGGCTGCTGCAGCCATGAGGCGCGATGGCCTCGAGGGCCTGGCCGCCCGTCCCTCCCCCTGTGGCCACCTGGTGCCCTGGGCCGCATCTGTCCCAGGGGCTGCTGGCCCTTCACTCCTCATCCGGCCGCGGGCTTCCCCCGCTCACAACACCAGAGCGAAGGGATCTTTTTTGGGGAGCAGCTTCTCTGCGGTCTCCTGCTGCACAGCCTGGCTCCGGCTGCCAGGGCTGCGGTGCCCCAGAAAACCTGCTCCCAGACTCCATGCCCTCATTCTCCCGGGAGCAGTTTCGTAACTGTGCTCTCCGGTAGGCTGGAGACGGGGGTGGGGCCGCGGGGGGCGGGGGCCCTCCCAGCTCCAGGCGGGGCCGCGGCTCCCCTGCAGCACGGGGTCCAGTCCGCCGGCCCCTCGGGGAGCGGGTGCCCCCCGCTTCAGAGCAGAGGAGGTGGCCCCCCCACTCCGCCAGCCGCCACCCCTCGGGCGCTCCGGGGGTGGCTCAGCCGGGACCTTCAGGGGCGCCCCTGAGCACGACCCCGCTGCGGCGCGTGCCTTTTAGGGGGCTCACAATCGTCTGGGGGTCTTGTAAATTCAAATTGTGGTCGAGTCGGTGCGCGGAGGGCCCGAGAGTCTCATTCTGACGATGTGGGTGAACCTGAGAACAGCGGCACCGGGCACTTCTGGGGGGGCATTTTGAAGCTTGTCAGAGTTGCGCATCCCGCCGGCACCGCTTTTTCTGGGGGTTCCCCGAGACTGGAGGGCCTTAGAAGGGTTCGGGGTCACGGGTGCTGTATCTCGGAGCTCTTCCCTACCCTGTGGGAGGGATGTGAGGCGAGACAGAACCTAAAGATTGACCAGGCTGGTGTCTGTGCCTGACTCGGTCAGGATAATTATGCTGAAAGACAGACATTCCGACTTTGTTCTAACGGTTGTGCTACCTGGCGTTGCCCTCCGGAGACAGCCGGTGGACAGCGCTGGCCTTCCGTGCGGGGCCTGTGGTGGGAGAGCGGACTTCCCGGTGGCGACCCACGCCCTGGCC